TATATATATATATATATATATATATATATATATATATATATATATATATATATATATATATATATATATATATATATATATATATATATGGATAGCATAAGAATCATTTGGTGAACCCATGCATGCACTTAAAAGGCAGTGGCATATCAATCTCTCAGCCGCTTCAGGGAGGAAACCTAAAGCTTTCTTGCTGAGATATGGTCTTGCGTGCTTTGCTTCTGTGTCTGATCGTTTTCTTGGGCAAGTGTTGCTTGCAATCAATCCACACAAAGATGAGGTCGAAGAAGCACAGGAGGTAGGAGGCCATATATAATCACTAGCTACAACCCTAACGACACGCACGCCACACGTAGAAGAATCCGCAGCACGATGTTTGTCAGTGATCCGACTATTCTTCGCCATCTCCACCTCCGATCGTCCGCGGGGGAAATGGACTGACGTTTAGGATCTCGTCGCGGTTGACGTACACCACCTTGAAGACATCAAACTGGGCGTCCTGAGAGAGGTGGCTGAAGTAGGGGAGGATGGTGTTGCGGTAGTCGGAGCGGAGCAGCCAGGAGTAGCAGGCATGGAGGGACTTCCACACCATCAGCGCCGCCACCACCGGCTGGTCGTTGCAGCGGAGGTGGACGTCGGCGGACAACCCATCGGTCTTCGCGAAGAAAGTCTTGTGAAGGGCCAGGCAGGCGTAGGAGAGATCGGCGACGTCGCGAGGCGTCGACGCCATGGCGCTCAGGAAGATGGTGTCGCCGGAGGAGAACTTGGCGAGCGAGCTGCCGTCTTTGGATTCCCCAAAGAAAGCCTCAAAGAAGCCATGATGAAGGAGAACACCCATAGTTGATACCTCTTCTAGCACTGATAGCTACAACAACAGATCTTTTGAGCTCAATTACTCCAAAGAATGCAAGTTTATGACTGTGATAATCTTAATCATGACAATTAGAGATTATTTACTCCATGGAAAGCTTGGTTTTTTTTCTGGTTTTCTGGAGATAAGAAATGATAGTTTATGACTCACCAGCGCATCATTCAACATCTTCCTGTTATCAGGGGACCTTCTTAACCATGCACCATACCATACAATCTGCAAGCCAAGAAGAAGAAGAAGAAGAAGAAGGCTTATACTCCGCGAGGAACTTAAAAGCTACTAAAACTATATCAAGGAGTGGGCGAAGAAGAAGAAGAAGAAGGCAGGTTGCAATACATACCATATTGCCATGTATGCTTCTCAACACTGAGCTATAGACGCAACCGAGATCCTCGGCATGGAAGGAGAAGTACTTCACGGCATCGATGAGCTCGTCGGCGAAGACACCAGTGGGACGGAACGCGAAGAAGCTGACGTCCAGCTTCTTGTTGTCGAAGGGCACAAAGCAAGGCATCCCAAGGGCGCAAGGAGAGATCACAGACCAGAAGCTAACAGCAAGGAGGAGGAAGAAGAGTAGGACTAGTTAATTGTTCTGCCGCCGAAGCACACGAGAAGAAGGAAAGAGTCCGTACAAAATATTGGACTTCAGCTTCCAGATAATAAATATAGCCTTCGCGTGGGTCTTCTTTGGCTGCTGAGTAGATCCAAGCACTCCACATGTGGCTCGAGTCCTCAATCTGGAATCTTGGAGGAAGGCTTGGTCAAACGGAACACATGAGATATTTGACTATATAGCAAAGTCAAATGTGTCCCTAAGTAAATCAATGCCTGTCCAATTTTGGTTTGAACTCATTTAATTCTTTTTTCTACTAATCTTAAACTTAGCAAAATTGATTGAAGCCTTCCTTCACTTATCATAGAATGAAATGTGTTCAACTAGCCGGGGTTTCTACTTCATAAGCTTGCATTGCCAAGTCATCTGATGGCTGTCAAATGGGAAAGGAGAGCAAGGATCAAAAGAGGCACTTGTAGTAGTATTATCAGTCAATTGGATGAAGGTCTAGAAGAAGAACCTCTTGGAATCTTCTATCCAATTCCATCATCCACGTCAAATATATACACCATCACGTCAGTTCAGTTTTAGGTAGCAATTTGACTTCCATAATCTAAGTAATAACAACTAACAACAATGCTTCCAAACACATTGGCAACTACACGTGTATAATTGGTGTTGAGAAGGAGCATTTTATTCATATGAATGATAAGTAAACTGGCGTATCTTTCTTTAAGGGCAATGCCATGGCATCAGATTCCATCTACAATATTGCAACCAAATTGAAGATAAAAATGAGAGACTAATTATATATTACTCCCTATAATTATACTTGATCTTTTTAAAAAATTTACATTAAAATTTCTGTAATTATGAAATTAAAACATCTAACTCCATTTATGGATAATATCTATTTATGCTTGAGAGTAATATATAGTTTAACCCTAAAAAGAGTCATGAACTAACTTAAAACATAGATAATATCCATAAATGTGACACAAGCAAGGCTGGTCTCTCACTTCCATTCACTTAAACAACGGAACCAGAGAGTATGCAAGTTTTGGAGGTCACAAAAGCGAAATAAAAAGTAAAAAAAGAACATGATCCATCTACATGTCTAAGCATAAATCTGACACAAAAGGGAAAACTTTTGAGTGAACATGTTGTCGAAATAATCCAGCCGCATTAAATTAAACTAAACGAGGCAAATTGTAAAAGAATGTAGTGGAAAAAAAGTTCTTCAATTATTTAAAAACAACTTTTGCTTTCTTTTTCATCTACATGAGATGCATTTTTTACTTTGTTCTGCTGATAACCCTATGTGTAAGATCCACGAGGGCTCGCCTTGATACCAAAACATCCTCATCGTCACTTTCAGGAAGAGCTTCAATAGCTTCCGCAGCATAGTTTGCATGCTCTGCTGCTAGTTCTCTTGTCCTCTCAATTCCTTGACTTTTTCCAAGGTATTCAAGGGCCTACAATAAAAGGATGAAGGTTGATCAAGCTAAATCTATGACATGTTTAAGTACACATGCTGCAGGGAAAAAAAAACATTTAAGCATGACAGAATTGTAAACAACTAAAATAAACATCAGTTTCCAGAACCCCCTTCATTTTTCTCATCTAGATCATAAAAAGTTGCAGTCACAAAATTTCTGTTTCTCATCCAAAGCTTGATTTTCTCCATGGGAAGCAATTCAAATGGTAACAAAATACTAGCTATATCGGATAGGTCCCTACAGCATTTATTCTGCTCGAGCTTTTACCTTAACACTTCATGTAAATCTCTTACACCCTCCAAATGATAAGAACATAACAAGACCGTGCATCAATTAATTATGAGTTGTAACCACTTAACTTCAGCCACAATAGCTCTATGACGCAGAACTATCATAGCTGGAGACAAACATGAAGACTAGATCAGAATCTAAATAAGCCAATATTGTCACGCTGCACACAGATGTTCCTGGTTATGGTATTGCCAGAATCTAATTATACACCTCTTATTGCAAAATGTAAGAAGACCATAGATAAATGCATGAACTTCACATGACTAGGGCACCATGCGAGTATTCTTATGTCTGCATAAGATGCATATGCCATCAATTGAAAAAATCCACACAGCATCTATACTCTCCTAACAGAATTTGTATGAGATATTAAAGTTACCTATTGATAAAAAGATAATTAGTCATGGAAAACTTACAACATCAACATTTGCAGGATCATCAAAACCCCGATCAACAACAACATGCAATTCAGGGAACTCCTCCATTGCAAAAAGTATTGGAGCTGTCACAATTCCCTGTATGATAGAACATATCTCAACAGAAGTAAAATAATCATAGCATATATACCAGCTCAAACATGGAATTATGATTAACCACTTCCCCTTTATGCAGCCTGTTAATTTTGCTATTTGAAAATGAGAAGCTCAAAGGATGATGTCCAGATAACACATCATGCAAAATTAAAGACCTTTTTTTGTTGTGGATTTGTGTGTGTGAGGTGTCCGTGAGTGAGTCCAAGATTTGTCCTATAAAATGCTACATAAGGTGCAAGTTACTGCTTCCCACAAGTCCTATGTGATCTATTCATGAACATTAGTAATCTTAACTCTAGTTCAAGGCCTTTATGGTTCATAGAGGAGCTCCTTGAAAATGCCTCTTTGAGGATCTTCAACAGTAGTTAAACTCACTATTATAAGAATCTAGGTTGCCAGGTCACCAGTGGTAAAAATATTAGATAACCAGTCAATTTTATTCTGATGAACTTGTGTTGACTTGCACTTCGAAAATGTAGCAATTTAGGTAACTAAAAGAAAAAGGATATTTTTTCTGCGACTAGCACAGGTTGACAAAGCACAATGTATGACAAGAACAATAACATTTCGAATATGCAAAGATGCATGACAGCCCAAGCATGAGATGCAACACGTGGATTTAGGTGCCCACCAACATGTGATTGCTCATGCTAGTGTCGCCTCCCAAGCATGCAGAGCCTCTTGATGTGTGCCAATGGATACGAAGTCATGCTCATTATACACCATTGTGACCACAGAAGTGTCCTGGCAGGTAATTAGTATGTTACTGCTGCCAGGGAAACTAGCATGTTACCGCATGCTCATAATATATGGCCCGTGATCAACATAGGGTCTGAATGTGGAACCTCATCCATTGCTAAAACTTCATCACAAATCATGAAAGACCATGCACATAAAGATGAGTCCAATTAGGTCTTGTTAAGCAAGAAGATACACACAAAAAAAAAAGAACAGCCACCTTTATCAACGATCACAGATCAAGTCAAACCACAAGTTACAAATGACATGATTGTCCACATGGCTGCTACGAGGATAAAAAGAGCTAAATTAGGATAAATCTAGTACTGATAAACTAAGGTTTTTAACTACTGTTAAGATAAAGCCACATGTTCCAGGTACTAAAAAAAGAAATGGGTTGTTGATTAAATAATACTACACAAAAAGTTTTGATAGTTAGAAAATTTTGTTCTAATGTGATAATGTGGTTCCCTAATAAAAGTCAACTGTTTGATCTCACATTAAAGTATGAAAGATTAGAAGAGAACAACTGTAGAATATGCTCTCCTTATGAATGACACCCAAAAGAGAAAATGCCAAATCATATGAGAAAAGGTTGGCATATACCACAAACACATACATCTGATCTGGAAGTCTACGTTGATCACAAAGAATACTATTCAAGTGAGATTTCTTTTTCAATCATTTTCAAAAGTCAACCAGCAACAAAGAAGATGAATAAGTTAAAAGACGAGAAATCGAAAGAAATATACATGCCGAATATCGGATAAGGAGCCCTTCCCAAGTGAAGCTGATGTGCCAGTGAAATCAAGAATATCGTCAACTAGCTGAAATGCTAAACCCTGACAGAGAGTACAGGTTCCAATCAACCCAACAAATAATATCACATGAATATGGTGTTTAAAACAGCTTGAAGAAAAGAAACTGTAGCAAACCAAATTTCTGCCATAGTCATATGCAAGCTTTGAAACTTCTGCAGTATGCCCTGCTAGAAGAGCAATAGCTTTGCAACTGCTCGAAATCAATGAAGCAGTCTTGTAATATGTCTTCTGTAGATAATAGTCCATGCTGCATCCAAAAAAAAATTGTTCAATGGGCCAAAAACATGCCACATTTGTATCAGAAGATAACTAACAAATCAAATAAAACAAATTTTATTTGAATTCATCAGTGTGAGAGTATCCATCAATCGAATTTGGAGAAACAAATCTTGTGAAATTAAAAGACCAAAACTGCTAGAAAGTTAAAAAAAATAAATGCACCTGCGACGTTGCTCGGATTTAGTTGTCATCTGCATTGTTTCACCAGTGACTAAGTGTTCTACAGTTGTTGCTAATAAACTTACAACCTGAAAAGACAATCAAGATATTTACAAGTGTCAAAAAATTAGCATAGAAGGCAGATAAACATGTAAAACACAGACATTCCATACGGTTGATTGAATTTATATCAGTAAACTTAGACGCTATGCTAGGGATAGTGAAATTAAAATTAAAAATTCATCTTCTATTTATACAAGTTATCTTCTCCACATTTTTTTATTAAAATAATAGAATCAGTTTCTTCTTACATGAAATAATCAGATAAAAAGTAGATTATTTGAAATTTATCATGGTCAAATTCTATAATTATATCCTCGAAACCTCTACATACAAAGTATTTATGTTTAACATAGTTAAACATATCATTCAAGATGGATTTTGTCATTTCATTTTCAAGATTTTAAGTCATGGACATATTCATGCATAGAGGTCAGGCATTTGATCCACAGATACATTATCAACAAGCAAAAAGCAGCTTGCATTCTACATCTGACCTTTCAGAAAATACAGTTATGGGTGCATCAAGCATTGGACTATTCTATCTATGCTACCACTATATTTTTTGATCAATCTACAGTTACATTAATAAAATGAAAGAAAAAATAGTACCACAACATAAAATTTATGATAACTCGAAGCACAAATTAACTGCAACTTACAGCAACACCATACAATTACATAAAAAAGGATTAATTAACAAGGTATTAAAACAGCAAACATTTATGTACCTCTGTGTTCTTAAGTGATGCAAGGGCAACACATGCTCTTGAAAGTAGAAAGTCCCCTGCAAGCACAGCAAGCTGCATAGTAAAAATAATTAAATAGTTTATGCATGCAGACAAGTGGTATTATAAAATTGGGGGAGCACATTTTTTGAAAAAAAAAATCAAATACTTCTATTTTGAAAAAACGGCAGCCCAATACATGAGGTCCTAATGTGGGGTTTGAAAAGGATCAATGTGCACAGCC